GAAAAACTACTGAGAATATGAAAATTTATACCATGAAATCAATAATTATCATTTGAACGATCCAAAACATATATATTATTTATTTTACAGTTTGTAGGGTTGCAGGAAACACGTAACAATACTGCATATGGTCAAACAAATGAACTACTTCAACTTTGTAAACCAAAAAAAGTATGTGATACCAACATGGGATAAAGCCAAGTGTGTGAAAGGGAAGCCAAGTATATTACAGAAATGTCTAGGACAGACCATTGTAACGTGAAGCCGCCAGCGTGAGTCATGGGTGCGGGTAAGGGGATTATGGTGACGTGTGGGTGTGAATAGGCGGGTGGTGGTGGTAGATTGTGGTTATGGTGAAGTGGGTGTGTGAATGGGCGGGTGGTGATAGTAGTATTTGTGAGCGGGTGGATGGAGTGGATGGATTGTATACCTTCACATCCACATGCTTCCCTCCCAACACACAGAAATTCACCCCCCCCCCCATAATACAACTCAACACTCAGACATTCCAAGCTAGCAAAAACGAAGAAAGGTGGAGTGCTTATACATGGCAAATAAGCGACCCAAAGAACAACAGTCTCCACTTGAATCACACGAGATCATCAACAAGCGCCGCTGTGAATTAATACAAGTTTCACCATCACTTCAGAAACTACAATATAACAAGTACAGAGACCACGAAATATAAATATTCAGTATGAATGCGAAGTGTCCGTATTACTTTATACAAATAACGAGGTAATGGCACATATTAATTTCACTCATCGAAATTTGCACACCACTCCCATTTCTCCCAGCACTATCGGCTCACTAATGAGATCAACCCTCTATGACTCCTCGCCACATTACGTATCTTCTATATCATATAAAATATAAGGTGTTTGCAGAATATCTTGATGTTTACACAGGACCTTGGTGTTGATGTTCACAATTACCGTGAGGTTTATGTTTACAGACTACCTTGATGTTTGTATTTACAGTCTTCTGGGGTAGTTAGGCTACAAATCCTAAACACACGTGTACTCCGTTTTTTACACAGCTATTCTTCGTCCTATCTTTAAATTCCAAACATGACCCTTTAACAAAACCTACTTTTAATCCTTCTCAAAGGGGCTAGACTGAATAGGCCAACTCTCACCTAAATTAACCAAAACTAACCGAGTACTTGGACCTGGAAATACTTTTACATGCTCTCAAGAGTATCTTTACGATTTTGTTAGACACGAGCCGATCAGTGGCGAAGAGGATAAAAGTAAAAAAGTAAAGTAAAATGACAAAAGATGAAGGATTTTGACAACCCTACCGAGACAACAGGAGTCCGTGTTCATTTTTAAATTAATCGAACCCCCAAAAGAGGGGGGATGGGGCAGGTTAGGGGATTTTGTTTTGCGATATTTTGTCCATATAGTCTGGTGGGATTTTCTCCCCGAGCACCATGGACGCCAACAGTGCCAAGGGCGAGGCACGCTGTATAGTACCTCATTTCCTCCCTGGCTCGCGTTGTCACTCAAAATTGTGCTGCTTAGACAGTAGTTTCTTCTAGGTACATTAGTTAACGTTATGATACTGGGATGTTATCGTCCTGGGTAGTTTAGGTTATATTACGTTTATTTTGGTTAGGTTAAAGTACAGTAGGTTAATGCAAGAAAAGTAGGATGACCCGAATATTCACCCCAATTTATTTCAAGTGAATATCAATTGACGAACTGTGAATTACGATAGAATTCCACAATATCTAAGTTTCGGAATTAAAAAAATATATAATTTCCCGAAATGTTCAAGGATAGCTTCTAACTGTGTCACGGACTATTGTGATACAGCGCCCTGGAAAAACCGAGTAAAGCCGAGTTATTATGACATGCTTGGTTCATCACAGATCTGTTCAGAAAAAAAGATTGAACAAAGAACACTACTAGTTAGTATGCGTTTCTTATCCAGATATTGTGAACAAGTTTTTAATGTGGTAATATAAAGATCAAACTGTCCTGAATGTTACTAATAAATTGGAATGGTAACAAACATAATTAACGAAAGATACAAGTATATTTACGAATGCATCTGGGATGACCTTAATTCTTCAGTCACCTCAGCGTCAACTAAACATATATTATCAATACAATTTTCAGAAATAATATAGAACAATAATCATTTCTTAAACTCTGGATACAAAGTATGTAAGAGATTGTGGGATACTGCATTTACTTGATAGTCATATATGCCTGCAGTGTTTTTCTTATCCTAGTTTGTTATTAACGATAGTACGGTACTCGTTATTTAGTTCTCATATGTTGCTAAGAAACACTTTTTTGAGACAAATGCGCAGTTCAGTACAGAAAGTTTTGTCAAGGAATATCCAATATTAACCGCATTTTGTCGTTTTAAGAGTTAATCCATAAATAAAGAATAAAAAATAAAGTACTGTATAAAATAAGACATAAGTGTGAAGTATGATGCAAGTCACTTTAAAACATCTTCCATTCCCAATTTAAGTATAAACTTCATTATATACGAGTAAATCTTAAGATTGCACATACAATATTCTCCTCACAACAGTCTAGTCTAGGCTGGCGACTACGTAAGCAGATATTAAAAATGTGGCTTTTCAGTGTGCCTTCGTCAACAGATGGGGGGCCCCGCTTTCGGATCGCCTGACTCATACGCCCACCTGACCTTAGTCATAACGAAGTCGGAAATGGTCATGGAAACTTCCTTCACTTTCTCAAGAACGCTTATAGCTATCAACTCTTGCTTTGTGTCACTTTTATCTAGTTATTTTTTTACTTGCTGTAAAAATATTCTACAATTATTGGAACATAGAGTTATTTCCTTACCTTTAACTGTCGAGCTATAAAAGCGAGAGAATTAAGGATTCCCTCGAGTACAAGCCAGACGATACACTCAACACCCAGCTACACACTCACACTGAGGTGAGGTGGGGCTTCCAGCTCCACAGACCACGGACGGTGCAAATATCCCAACTCACTAACTGGCAACTGGCCCAGTGTCGCGGTGGCTAAGGAACAAACATTTGTTTGGTTCTTTCCTTTCTACCTTTCACCTGTGCTACTCCCTAGCCTTAGTCCAAAGACTATATGCGTATATCGTCTTTGCCTTAGTCCGTGGCCATAGAGAAGAGCTTATGGGTCACCTGAAGAATCTCCTCACCAGATTTTGTCACCCATAAGTTAGGTAAGCGTTAAGATGGCATCACTAAGAATCTCCCCAGGTAGCGCTGGGGAAGGAGATTTGTCAGGTGATGATGCTCTTCATTGTTAGGCGGGTCACGTTAAAAGCTTTGTTTTGGTTGGCCGGACGTTGCAGCACATAAATAAGACTAGATTATTAAAAACAGCCCTCTGGACAAGGTTATCAAGAACAATGAAGGGATCCTACACACACACACCACTTCGTTCCCTCGGCATAAGGACCACTAAATTGATATGGCTTATTTGGCAAATTAGGAAATAAGAAGACAATGCAGCAATTACAGGACTGTCATTTTGTCCATTATAACCCGGAATTGACGAAGCAGTAAGTTCGAACTTTAAATGACTCCAGCATTGGCCCGAATTTTTAAGTTGCAACAAAAAATGACCGAAATTAAACGATAAAACTAATTATCCTGTGACTATTATATATACAATATGTGTTGTTATACAAGCCATTATAAGCACTAACAAAGAATAAAATACATGTTTAATATACGGTAATGCTATATACTTAACCATGTGCATGTTTCATGTACATTCCATAAAGTATTATACTCTTTAACAGTACTATATAGTTAATCCTGATAACGAGAGATATTATGCAAATGCTGCCAAAAGAAAGGTGCTATTCCCCCAAATTTGCATAAATATTCATGATATGAGGGTGTAGATCAAACCCACAATTCCTCAGGTTACTTGTTGGGCGTTGCATACAGGAGAATATGACAATAACATGAAAATTAGTTGGACTCATTTATATACTCAGGGGATACGTCAGAAGAAAAGTTCATTTTTTTTGTTACCAATATTGTAATGTTAGACAAAAACAAGACCATTTTCATATATGACACATATGGCGCATTTAATCCATAATTCTCTCAGGCGTTGAAAGTCAGAAACTGCTAGAAAAAAATATAAGCGGTGGCGAGAAATGGCGGGGTTTTGTTTTATTCAATAAGAAATTCAGACAATAAACAAAATTCTGATATGACATTTTTCTCGCATTTTACCCATAACTGAGATTTCAGGAGTTGAAAATCAGAAAACTAATTGAAAAATTCTGAGCTGTTATTGCACTTGTTGTCACCAACCGAATCTCGTTATTTTTTCTTTGCAAACAATAGTTTAGACAATTCTAGACATTTTTTTCCTTACCGTTTCCCTTGCAAACGACCTAGAACCGAGATAGTAATAAAAATAATAGTATCTAAATATACCAAGGGCTCGACTCTGACACCAAGAGATAATAGCACGGACTGGTGGCCGACAGCCAAGGACTTGGGTCTAATTTCAGTGAATAGGAATAATCTTTTCCTCTACCTTAATCAAGTATTGCACCCAAAAGGTTAATAAGAATTACTACCACAGTGGAGGTCCTCATAACTGGATTTTACAAAATTAACCTGTAATTAGCTTTTAACAAAATTAAAATCTTACCAATACCGGTGAGGAGGCGTCAACCTGTGGGCCAGACACCCACGGGCTACAGCGGCTAGTTAGATATAGTGACACACTGTAGGCCAGAACAGAGACATGCAGCTGCTAGCTAGATACAGTAGTAGTCAATTTATAATAGAGGACATAATTCGATATTCTTTTTGTTTCTAATGATAAGTTCATCCAAAAACTGCCGATATGTCGGTTATGGGTTAAATGCGCCTAAAGTTCATAGATGAAAATCGTCTTGTTTTTTGTGTGAACTTAACATTAGCAACAAAAACAACCACTTTTCTTCTATGACGTTTCCCTCGTAGACTTTATTTTTAATCGATAATTAACTTACATTTACTTGGATGAATGTATGTTAAGCCAGATATTTCAGACTACATTTATTCATAAAACGCAGCGGTCGAGGTCACCACCACGTGTTGAAGGAGTACTTGAGCTTGATCCGAGGAGTGTGACTGTAGTAGTAGGTCTTTGGGAGGATGCTTATGTCTGCACAGTTGACGAATGTTTCTTGATGGCCACAACCAAGTCGCCCAGAGCCGTTAGGACAGATACCCCAAGTGTTCCCTGGAAATTTAATTGTAATTTAAAACATATGAATTTGTTCTTCCACGTTAGATAGTTTTTGAGTAATCCTGCTAATAAATGTGGGCAGGGTAGAAGTATTTACAATTTGACAAATACACAAATAGAAAGACGGACGGAGAAGTGAACCTTACCAACGATCCAAGTCCACTGGAGGACACAGTGGGTGCAGGAGAGATGGTGCGGCAGCTGGACGTAGACGATGTGGTCTCCATGAATGGCACCATCCAAGGTGTAGCGGGTGCCGGAGCCGTCAGCCAGGGACAGCAGCTTCTTGTACAGGCAAGTCTGGGAGTCGCGAGCACTTGGATTGTTGTTGACACACAGACGAAACTCATACCACCCCTGAAAATTGACACCAATATTTTATTGCTCCCCTTCAAACATCAATGATTATATGCAGGACCGTCCCTAGGAGGGTGCGGGGCCCGGGGGAACTCAACCACTGCGGGGCCCCACACTAGTGTCAGATTATGCAATCAGAGGAACCCACCCCCACCAACCCCCATGGGACTGTCGCTATGGATGGTAAGGTCACGGTTGCGATGGTGGCGTAAGCCGTCAGGTTAGATTAACCAGTCAATAGGTAATGTGTCCGAGGTCACTGGGTCTAGGGCTGGGCCCCCGCGGGGCCCCCCACAGGCGCGGGGCCCCGGGCGGTCGCCCCTGTTCGCCCCCCCCCCCCCATTAAGGACGGGCATGATTATATGATACGAAACGGCTACCGTTAGGATGTCGGACTTTGGTCGGAATATTCTCGTCGTAAAAGTTAGGTTTGGGGAACTACTAAGTCGATTAAGTTCCTATTTCTTAACGTTATTTTCTGTCATATCGGAACGTTAAATTTGGGTTAGGTTAGTTTGGGTTGTTATGTTACTTTAAATTAAGTTCCGATATCATATCTAGCTATCCTCTCCCATACGAAATGGTGAACTAATATTGGAATGTAATAACGATAAGGTCGAAATACTGAACCAAATTCTAACAACGTTATCCTCTGCCTAATTAATAAATCTTAAGGAGTGAATGTGATCAACAACACTGACTATGAACATAATCAACAAGAGGAGAAGGCTCTGACCAGATGGTTGGAGGCGATGTGTATGGTGACAGGAATGACCTGACCCTCGGTGTAGTTGGCGGTGATGACTCCTCGGCCAAACTCACCACCGCGCTCATGAGGACGAGGCTCAGGCAGCCGCCAATTGTCACCGCACACGCCACACCGCCCCCTGTTCCTGATGTGTTGTACCTGGCGAGTGTACGGAACTGAATTGTTTACTTTGTCGCACTGCCTCAGTTTTTCTATGTTTCAGTATATTGAGCTATATCACAAGTCATATATAAAGATGTGACATTTTTAAGTTGAAAACTTGAATTACTTGATACTTAAGCTAATGTTATTCACAAGCTTTATATTATAAGGCCAATTCTAATTTTTCGTAGTTACCAGATACATGGTGAACTCATATTATTACTGTACCGACCTCCCGACCTCCGCAGAAAAGTTCATTGTCGTTATAGTTGGTGGGTGTATCGAAGCCAAATCTCCATGCCGAGTTGCGGGCGGCTGGTGAGGACATGTACCCATGGGCGTGCACGGCAATCACAACCACCCACGTCAACAGTAAAAATTTGGATATCAGGCCAACCATGGTGGAGACAGTACAGAGAGACCGTGAGATGTAAGGTGAAGGCGTTGAGGGTGACTGGTGACTGGTGGTGTCCACCTTGGGTTTATAGGTGCTGACGATCCCATATGTTCCATGGTTGAGGATTGTCCTGGTTTCCGGGGATCAACTTAACACCTTCCACTCCCTGGGAACTGGAATGCCGAAGTTGTATCAGTGCGTCACTGAGTGTTTAATGTATACGTTTCCCATGTCATTTTTAACAAGAAATTCCACACTTCGGTGTTATACCAGAATGGCAGAAAAGTGTTAAGTACATAAAGTTAGACGCAATAAAACAAATGCGGGATCCCTGAATGGGCGTCGACCTTTTTGTTCACAGGTGGATCAGTTAATGAAATACGAATGCCACGAACGAGTTACTACTTTAATTATAATTTCCCCAAATCAGTATTCAGTAATAGTAGTATGGGTAGAAGGTAGGTAATGACTTCAACTAACGTGACTTTCATCTCCTCAACCACAGGAGTGAACGAATAAGGTGTGTTTTGACTCAGGACTTTAAAAATTATTTTCATCAGAATTTCCACTAAAATGTTTCTTTCAGAGCATAAAATGCAAATTCGGTACCGTAACAAGGATAATACGACTTTAAATTTAATAAAAAAGTAGCAAGTAGGTAATGTAGTGACCCTCGTTCCTTCAGCGCTTCGTCTAAGAAAAATGTATCTTTGAATTGATTACTGTACTGGATGATGTTAGCACGAACGAACTACCGGGCTATACATACTCACGTTTGGCAATGTGAGCCTAAGCTGAGTCTTCCTTGACAATCTCTCGTAAAGCGAGGGTGATGAATTCCAACATTAAATTGAAGTTAGTGGTATTTATTTTTTTACGGTTAATGGGTCCTATTCTGGCGTCAGTTTGTCATTCATTATATGTCTTTGTGATAGCACCACTGTATCATAATCTATGCCCTTGTTATGGCAGCGTTTTACTGACCTCTATGTCCTTGTTATAACGACGTCGTGTCTTTGTACCAGTATTGGCTCGTGTCAGGGTATGTCCGCCGCACCTATACTAACCTAATATTGTATGTCGCAACCTACCCAGAATTCGATAAATGCAATTTTCAGTGAAAGTCGTTCGCCCATTCTTCTCCCCTCTTTGGATGATCATGACATTTATTCAGTAAGATTTTCATTATAAATTTATTCAAAATTTGATTGATTCTACAGGTGTAATTGTAGTTATTATGGGTGTAGGCACTACTACTACTGTACAGCTAATATTGCAGCTACAAGTGTGGGGGGACTGCAGGTGTAAGTGCGTCATACCCGCCCGTCCAGGTACTCGAGGGTAAGCGCTAAACTTCCCACATATCTGGCAGTTGGATGTGACACGGACAACTAGGTCTCCCACGTCCCCGACAAGCCGCAGTGGTGTTAGCTTTACCCTTCGTTACCAACAAAAGTCTGATACTTCGGATTGTTGGTCCTTAATTGCTGGGATGAGTTTCTAAACCAATTGTTTACCAATAAATGACTGTGCAACGGCAAATTTGGATTTGGTACAATTTCGAGCATGATGAGTGTAAAGGAAAATTTGTCTGCGGCTGGTAATGGGGTCACCTGTACGTTTATTTAGCATGTGAAACAATCAGGCTTCTCCATTTTTGTTTCCTGGGAGGCAGCATACTACCTCGCTAGATTTTCAGTTTATATCGTATAGTAACAAACGTGTAAGTGAAAATTGTCTCCAGGATAACTAACACTTATTAAGTATGTTGAATATATATATATATATATATATATATATATATATATATATATATATATATATATATATATATATATATATATATATATATATATATATATGTGTGTGTGTGTGTGTGTGTGTGTTACTGTTTGCAAAATTAGCTCTGAGGATCATTGAAACTTGCATGAATCAGTCTTTCTGAAATTCAAAAACAAACAATAGTAACTAAACCGATAAAATGAGTTTTATTTAAATTTAGTACTCATACGTTCAGGATAAATAACTTACATGTGTATACAATTTAAAGTTCCAAAGCAAGATTTTATACTTGAATCAGTGAAATGACGAGAACAAGCAATATTTAGCATATGTGAACTACTGGTGTCTTGAATATTGTTTTTATCTTTCTATTTTCACATTTTTACTTGTGGAACAACCTGTCAGAGAGTGTTTTGACGGCACCGAGTGTGAGCTATATCAAGACCAGACTTGACCAACACTGGAGCAGGTTCAGGTACATTCAGGAACCGGTGCATGCCCAGTACTTGTCAACAGTGTGTAACAGAGACGTGACCGATCGCCCAAGCGGTTAACGAGCCGATCAGTGGTGAAGAGGGTAAAAGTAAAACAGTAAAAGTAAAATATAAAATTTTATATGAATCTTTAAATTACATGCAGTAGAAGATAAATTTAATTTTATTAGTGTGTTTTCGTACTTCAATATAAGATAAGTGAGAGTGGATGAAATAGTTGTTAGTGACGTCTTGTAACACACTGTTGCCACTTCACCGGAATTTCCCACAAATCTGTGGGAGAAATGGGACTACGTAGGAGGTGTTACGGGAATAAAATTTTGGTGGGACTTTTGTGGGGGTTTGCAGGAATTTGTGGGAACTGACATATATTATGGTACAACTTAGTAATATCAATAATTAGAGCCTCGTTGTTCAATTTAGTTTAGTCATGATTTCAGTAATGCAGTTGTGATTAGCTCTCTGAGTGAACCCAAGGTATTATAACGTCAGAGAGCATTGTAAAAAGTTTGTCATAGAACTTATCAGTGAAGTGTAAGCAAGCTTTCCAGATAACTTTGAAACATTGCTCCAACTCACCAATTGCAACCAAGCCAAGCTACTTTGTCAAAGGAAGGCATTTCAAAGGTGGCCTCCAAATACAGTTCAACATTTAATGATATGGATGACTTGCAAAATGAGTGGAGTGCCTTAAGACTGGAAGAGAGTCAAGCTTACAGGACTCCAACCCAGTATATTGGGGCTGAAGTCAGTGACAGGAAGAACTCTGCTGGGGAACTAGCATATCCTAATGTAGCTTCATTAGCACTAGCTTTACTTTATCTACCATAGCTCAAGATTGAAGAAGCCGCAAGTCCAGAAAACTGTGAGGGCAAACTTTTTCGGAGTGAGAGTTGTGAACTCTTGGAACAATCAACCAGAAAGTGCTGTGTTGGCACCGAGCGTGAGCTCTTTCAAGACCAGACTTGGCCAACTCTGGAGCAGGTTCAGGTACATTCCAGAACTAGTGCATGCTCAGTACTTGCCAACTGTGCGTAACAGAGACGTAACCGATCGCCCAAGCGGCTAACGAGCCGATCAGTGGTGAAGAGGATAAAATAAAAAAGATTACATTAGTTGAGAGAATATTTTCACTAATGAGAGTAGTCCACACAAAACTCAGAAATCGCCTCAATGTTAGATCCGTGGAAGCCATTCTACAAATTTGCTATGGGTTAAAGGTGGAATCAAAGACATGTGCAAACTTCATACTATTGAAATGATAAAGAATTTTGCCAAGAAAAACACGCCAGCGACAAACGAGATAAAACCTTAGGACGAAATAGTTGCCCTGGGCCTGTAGAGATATTCGGTGAGTACTGTTCAATGTAAGTATAATTCTTTTTATTAATATAGGCCTGAGTTATTTGTGGATCTTTTGTGGGAATTTGGTATAGATCTGGGATTTTGTGGGAGAAATTGGGTAGGGGAGTCGTGGGGGGGGGGGACATGGGAATTTTATTTCTGAGAAGTGGCAAGTACTGGCAACACTGTTATAACACTTGGCGTAGGCAAAATTGTGACAGGTTTAGTGTTGGCTGCTGCTGCTGCTGCTAGCAACCTATATTATATTACGGAACTTTCATTCTAAGATAAGGTATTAAAGGTAGTGCTGTAGTGTTTATAGTGAATTAATTAATTGAGAGTGATTTCTTGTGACAGGTGACGTAGGCGAAGCTGTGACGGGTCAGGGGGAGGCTAGGCTGCTGCTGTCAATATACTGTATATACTTACCGTACACATTAATAAACTCTTGAGTTCCAGGTACAGTATAATGTTAAATGTCATGAAGTTTTTATATGGTGAGATTCAAACCAAATCAGTCCTTGAATAGAATTTATTAAAGTGCTGAGTCTATTAACAGTTAAAGTAACGTTACTGTACAAAGAAAATTAAGTCACTTCTTAACTAATCGAATTTTAGAGCAAATAATATCACAGATAAGTTCATAATAATGTTGTAGTTCATTATTCTTAGGAAGTCAGAGTTCCTTTGTTCTTAATGATTCTCTGCCCACGACTTTAGCCTGAAGGACTACTTTTACTTTTTACTTTTATCCTCTTCACCACTAGTCGGTTCGCTACCTGCTTGGGCAGTCTGTCACATCTCTGTTATACACTGTTAGCAAGTACTGGTGCATATACTTGCTCCTGAATGTACCTGAACCTGCTCCAGTGTGGGTCAAGTCTGGTCTTGAAAGAGCTCACACCTGGTGCCGTCACAACACTTTCTGGCAGATTGTTCCAAGAGTTCACAACTCTCACTCCGAAAAAAGTTACCCCTCACAGTTTTCTGGGCTTGCGTCTTCTTCGACCTTGAACTGTGACCCCTTGTGGGGCGAGAGTCCACCAGCTCCAGGTAAGGACACTCGACTGAGTAGTGCCCTTTGAGATGCTTATACACCTCAATTAGGTCGCCCCTTACTGGCTTGTAGTATAAGCTAGGCAATTTCAGGTGCTCTACTGTAATCTCTCGGGGTAGCTGAGGTGCCGTAGTGCAGGCACCAGCCTGGTGGCCTTCCTTTACTTTTATCCTCTTCGCCACTGATCGGCTTGTTAGCCGCTTGGGCGATCGGTCACGTCTCTTTTCCTTTATATTCTTCCTTTGGACATTATCAATCAACTGACAGTCCCTAGCATATCTCGGGGACCAGACAGGGTGACAATACTCCAGACGGGGAAGCATCTCACTCTTGAAGATTGTGACGAACCATCCAGATATCTAAATGACATTATTTTAAGACCTACTAGTTTTGTTGCCTGATTTACCTTCTCACAATGGCCCGAGAACTTGAGTTCATTGTCAATATATACACCCAGGTCCGTTTCACATTCGGTCTCAATTAATGCAGTATCTTCATCATGTTGGGACATGAGATACGCCTCCTTAATGTTGGTGTGACCCAGGTACATCCTCTTACACTTCGTGACACTTAATCTTAGCAACCATTTCCTCGACCATTCTTGAAGCTCATAGAGATCTTTCTGTAGCTCTTCACAGTCTGTTTGGTTCTTAATTTCCCTAAATAACTTGGCATCATCTGCAAACATTTGTATGGAGGAGTGTATAGCTTCTGGCATGTCACTTATGAAGCAAATAACAACAACGGGCCCAATACACTGCCCTGTGGTATCCCGCTTGTCACAGGTACACATGACGATTTTATACCATGTATCACCACACACTGTTTGGGGTCATGCAGAAAGTCTCTGATCCATGCTAGGACACTTCCCCTACCCTTCCAGTTTAATTCTCAGCCTTTCATGTGGTACACTGTTGAAAGCCTTGGCAAAATCTAGGTATATATTGTCAATATTTTTGCCCCATTCTAGAATTTGAATTGAAACATCTAATACCTTGAGTAATTGTTAAGCAGGATCGTCCCGGCATAAAACAGTGTTGGCAGTCCCTTGCAAGGTTGTTTCATAGCAGATATTCCATCATGGCATCTCTTATGATGCTCTCTAGTACTGTACTTTACACACTATGCTGGTCAGGTTCGCTGGTCTATAATTATTTGTGGAGTGACTATCACCCTTCTTGAATATAGGACTCACATAAGCCATCTTTCAGTCATCTGGGACCTTTTGCTCCTCCAGGCATTTGCAGAACAGGATCTTAAGGGGCTCCACAAGCTCGTTACAGTTCTATTAACACGGGGTGTACCTTATCAGGGCCGGGACTCTTGTGAATCAATAACTTCGACAGTTTATTTCTTATAATCTCATCCGAGAACACAATGTGGGTCAGCACTGTGTCAAACGGTCTTTCTTTAAATGCGAAGATTGTTCGCATCCTCTCTTGTGAACACCGATGAAAAGAATTTGTTCAACGCCTCCGCCTTATCCTGGTTTAGTTTTCCACATGTTCTAATCATTACAGTAAGTGTTTTAAGAGGTGACAAATTTTCATTCTAACTAGGCAGTGGATATTTTGCCATCACTGACTAAGTTCCTACTAAAGCTATTTTACTGTGAGTGCACTCTGATTGGCTAATCAAATCAAAACGACAATGCACAGAACCTATTAGAACCTAACCTCACCTCACTTCACCTAACTTCCTAACCTGTGCATTGTTGTTTCGATTTTCCAACTATCATCCAAACAACATCTCTAGAAAAAATGAATGCAGAGGATATTATGCCATTTTATTTGCTGGTAATGGACAATTAGCCAATCAGAGTGCAGTCACAGTAAAATAGTGTTACAGTAGGAACTTAGCTGATCACGGTAAAATATCCACTGCATTTTAATTACGAGTACAGTATTTTTATTTATTTATTTATTTATTTTTTCTTATTTATGATCATAAATCACCTGTAGTAGGCAGGGTATGAAGAAAATTGCGGGTAAGACACGGGGAAAAGCTGATCATATGACACTGAAATAATGTCTATGTGCATTGTACTTGAAGAAATTAATTATTTACCTTAAATACTCCTTTGAAAAATCAACTGAGTCACCATGTGTTGTATGTGCTCACAACATACAGTACGCGCTTGGTCTGAGTGTACTCTCACATCCACAAAAAAACATAAAATTACACCATGATGCTTCAGCAAAGTTCCTTTCATTGGTACCAGATAATCAAACCACTCCTTCTGGTGGTAAAGGTGTTTTCATGCATTACCAAAAATTATGCTTAATTGAGATATGCCTTGGTGGAAAGATAGAATTTGTTGATTAATATATAGCATTGTGTTTAGTCCTTAGTATTTTCAAGCAACGCTTCTAAGAAGGCTAATGTAAAATGTATGTTTGAAGACTGGATGTAATCATTAATATGTACAGTAATTTATTCAGATGTTAGAGAAACCATATACAGACCATAATTATTTTCATGCCACTATAAAGAGATACAGTTAACCCTCACTTTACGTGGTCCCGCATTCCGCGTTTCCACGTTAACGCGGTGCCTTGCCAGAACCTCACGTGCTCACATTACGCGGTACGTGAACCCCATTACGCGGAGAGTGTCCGGCGCGACGCTATTTTTAGATTCGCCCCACCTGCCACCCGCCTGCCTGCCTGCCTGCCTCTCCCTCCTCCTCCCTCCGCTTGGGCAAGCGGCGCAGTAAGGTTGCGCAGTGTGTGTCTTTGTTGCGTTATCACTGACGTCATATGACGTATCAGACCTGTGATTGGCCATGCATCCCTACCCCCCTCTGCTGCTAGCTGTAATTGGCTTAAAGTATTATGACGTGTCCACCCGGGGGAGGGAGGGAGGGAGGAAAGACGACGCTTGACCTAGCCGCGGCAGTTTCATCCCTCAAGGCCACTCCGTGTAAACGCGCATCCATTGTTCCGTAAAATGGCTTCCACCGGACCACCACCCCCAGAGAGAAACCTTTCCTTACCTGGACCCAGCGGCACTAAACCAAAGAAGACACGACGTTCCTTAAGCTACGAGGTGAAGTATACCATCATCCAAGAGTTGGATAAAGGAACAAGGCAGGTTGATTTGGCGCGCCAGCATGGTGTGAACGAATCTACGATCCGGACTATAAAGAAGGATTCAGCCAAGATAAAGGAGCACATGAAGATCACAAAGTCTACAGGTGCTTCTATGATATCACAATCAAGTATTTTCACAACCAGGTGCTTCTCAAGACAGAAAAATTAAGGTATGCGTCGACATGGCGGTCGACACGCGCTCTGTTAAGGACTACACACGTGAACTGTACATGGCAGTGGCACGAAAGATGGGAATTACAGAGCCCAAACCCTTTAATGCTTCCTCTGGGTGGTTACAGAGGTTTAAGATCCGGAACAAGATCACCAATATAAACATTGGTGGTGAAGAAGCGAGTGCTGATCGTGCTGCGGCTCGGGAATTTCCTCCGTTTTTACGTGAGATTATGGAGGAAGGACAGTACAGTGACGACCAGGTGTTTAACATGGACGAATCTGGTCTTTTCTGGAAAAAGCTACCTTCCAAGTCCTTCGCTGTGAAGAATGCCAGCAGGATTCGGGGCCGGAAAATGCAGAAGGAACGCATCACCGTCCTGTTTACCACCAATGCCTCCGGTACCTGTAAGCTCAAGTTATCGGTGATCCACACAGCACGCAAGCCGCACTCCTACAAAACCATGGACATGACCAAGCTAAATGTCCACTGGCTGACTGCACGTAAGGCGTGGATGTTCTCTACACTGTCCCTCTCCTGGTTTGATGACTGTTTTGTTCCCGATGTAAAAAAATTCTGTGAGCGACAGAATGTGCCATTCAATATTTTGTTGCTGCTGGACAACGCACCAGGACACTCGCCCCTACTGTTAGATCGTCACCCCAACGTAAAAGTGGTCTTCCTTCCTCCCAACACTACGTCATTAATCCAGCCCATGGACCAGGAGTTGATTTGCAATGTGAAAGCTGCATTCTCAACCAAAAAATTACAGCTCCTGAATGACTACACCAACACCAGGGAAGAGTTGCGTAACCTGAGTGACACCACCACCGATAGCAAGAGCGAAGAAGATGAGGATCAACAGTTGGAATAGCAAAAAATACTCTTCAAACAATTCTGGAGAATATTTAACATCAAGAAAGCTGTGGACTTCTTGGTGGAGTCATGGGATCAGCTGTATTGCTACAATTCGTCACGCATGGAGACATGTGTTGCATGGAATACCAGGTGAGAGGAGGAGTCAATCTGTGACTGGTGAGGTTCAGAATGTTGCAGTAGCAGTGGACCTTGCCAGAGAAGCTGCGCAGACTGTTACAGTTCCAGGCTTCTCCGAGACCACCAACGACGACATCCTGGAGGTGATCAGAGATCCTGAAGTGACTGCCGACGAGATGTTGGAAGAAGAACATGTCAGTGAAGAGGAGGAAGAAGGTGCGTCATTCTCCGAAGAACACAATTTAAGTCATAGTGATATTAAGGGTGCCATGGAGTGTGCAGAGAAGATGAAGTCCTTCCTTTCCCGCGACAATGACGATGACCGCTATGAAGTCTTCCATACCCGGCTGGTGCAGGCTATGGAGCCGTACATCAAGGTGTATCACGACAACATCAACGCCAGCCGTCAGCAAAGCATAACTGATTTCTTCGCCCGCAACCCACCACAGCCAGCCCAAGCCAGTGATAGTGGCAGTGAAGATGACTTTGAGGGATTTGTCAGGGAAGCCCTGACAACTGTAAGTGACAGTGATGGTGATTCACCTAGTAATGGTGATTCACCTGAGGGCCAGTAATCTGCCCTCTGCTTCGGAACCAGCCTCCATCCCCGTATGCCGACCCATCTCTTCTACTACCGTAAGTGTTACACCAAATTTTTAGTTTTCTAACCTAACCTTTATTTTTCCTATGTTAACCTTTATCTTTCCTAACCTAACCTCTTCTATATTACTTGTTTTTTCATACCATCATAAAGTTAAGATAAAATTTTTACTACAACATAGTTGTGTGTCGTCAAAAAGTGGAGTTTGGGGATCGGCCCGGACTCCATTTCAATTAATCCCATATGTTATGTTATTCACTTTACGCTTTTCTCACTTTACGCGGGACCCTCCGGGTTACATTAACCGCGTAAAGTGAGGGTTAACTGTAATTGGCACAGGTAAGAGCTACAGAAAGATCTCTATGAGCTTCAAGAGTGGTTGAAGGAATGGCCTTTAAGATTCAATGTCACAAAGTGTAGGAGGATGCACCTAGGTCGTACCAATAGGACAAAGATACAGCATTAACAGAGACCAAATCTGAAAAGGATCTGGGTGTGCATGTTGACAACAAATTGAAGTTATTGGGCCATTGTGAGAAGAAGGTGAATCAAGTAGCTAAGCTAGTAGGTCATATAAAAAGGTCATTCACATATCTAGATGGTCTGCCCCTCGTAAATTTCTTCAAGAGTGAGGTGCATCCCTGATTGTTGTACTGTCACCCCATCTGGTCCCCGAGATATGCCTGCACTACAGCATCTCAGTTATCCAGAGAGATTAGAACGCCTTCAATTGCCTAGCTTATACTACAAACGGGCAAGGGGTGACATAATCAGTCAAATATTCATACCTGGAGCTGGCAAATGCCTGCCCCACTAGGGGTCAGAGCTCAAGGTTCAAGAAGCCATAAGTTCAGAAAGTTGAGGGCAAACTTTATTAGAGTGAAAATTGTGAACTCTTGGAACAATCTGCCAGAGTGTGTTGTGACGGCACCAGGTGTGAGCTCTTTCAAGACCAGACTTGACCCACACTGGAGCAGGTGCAGATACATTCAGGAGCCGGTATATGCACCAGTACTTGCTAACAGTGCATAACGGAGATGTGACAGACTGCCCAAGCAGCTAGCGAGCTGATTAGTGGCGGAGAGGATAAAAGTAAAATATATTTATCCTCATCACTTTACAGTATATTGGGTATCATTTGCTATAACTGTTACGCTACCCGGACTCCAGTTTCCCCCTGTACTAACACTGGATAGATGAACTTCCCAAGGGGCTAGTAAGCTGATAAGTGATGAAAAAAAAATATTTATGTTGTGAACAATTGGTATTAAAAGGTGTTAACTGCCCGACTCTCCTCATCATCAAGATTTAGGCCGTTAATGTGATTTATTCCTTGATACAGTAATAGGGAAATAGAATGTGATGTGCACTTTTGTCTTAGACATTATTTTTTTCTTTTTCTACAGTTTTTAAGATGGAACTGAGGATAAAGAAGCTGTAAGTGTCTTAGTGGTTGACTCTCCTCAAGGATACTCTGACCAGCCAACATGTCAATCAACGGTATCTTGAAACGAGCATCAAGCTTTTTAGGCATAAGTTATACTGATTCCTCCAAGCCAGCGTATGAAGATGGAGATATTGTTTTCTGTAAGTTAATGTGAAAACTTTTAAAATATCGTGAGAAAAGGTTTATATTTATGTGCCATGTTGTATCTTCTCAACGAGTTCGTAGACATACTTGAAATTAAAGGAGTGTTGCAGAGATATGTACCTAGAAATATCCTTAATTTATACTGTACTGTTTAGGTAATGGATTTTTCCTCAACAGGCAAAAACAATGTTTGCGTACACCCTCCATCGTGTTATCGTGGGGACAGGGAGAGGGTGCACCATCCAGGCTACTTGGTTATTAAGTGTCAGACAGATACGACTCACGGGACCACACTCCACCTGAACTGGATTCCAAATGATCGCCTTTGTCGGAACCACGAACTTATATCTCACATGAAGTGCGTATATCAGATGAAGCCAACCGGGTATCTTTTTTGCCTGCTTTAGCTTCCCCTGTACTGGAGGTTGTCTTATGCAGGGACTAAGCTGCACATACATTTAGTTTAGCATTTATCTGCAGAGTTCCTAATGGACACAGTACTTGATTTGGTTCATTATCTCCTTTTTTAGTATAGATGAAAATTTTTACTTTACACATGATTGTTCTTAACAGTTTTCAGGTACAGTATTTATTAGATGTTATTGTTTGATCAGATTTGAAACTATGACTTGCTAGTTGTTTTCCCCCATCATTTTTATCCAGGATTTGCATGACTTAAGTCAAATGATTTAAAACAATGATTTAATTTTTTTTTTCATAAATGGGTATTTTTTTTATATTAGTCAGTAATATCTTCGTTAGCCAGAACAATTGGTGCAGAACACTCCCGGGAATGTGAGATTTCCGGGTAAAGAGACGAGTTTCTCGAACCCGGAAAAAATCCCTCATCCCTGGAATTTTCTGGGTACCGGAAAAAATTTTCTAGGAATTTCCGGAAAATGAGCTTGATTTTCATCTCAGACCACCCAAAAAAATTCCATCCCTGGAATTTTCTGGAATTCTCCGGGTACTGGGATAATTTTCTCAGAATTTTCCAGAATAGTGCCTCTCGGTAAGTTGTTCCCAAAGCCAGAATTTTCCAGAAAATTACGGCTTTGGGGACGATTATCCGAGAAAATTTCAATTCCAGTTATCAGAGTGTTTCGGTTAAGAAGGATTCTGTCTAACGGAGATATTATTACATACATATTTAATTCCTCTTCAGCCTTCATAATAACAAATCAATGACTTAAAATAGCAGCTCTGACTTGAAAATTAATAAAAAAAATTTGAATTAAGAAATTTGGCAGTGAAGCAATATGATTGTTTCCCGTTTTATCAAATTACCTGAAGTATATATAACTGTATTGGTTAATAATTCCATTTCTCTCTGTAAGAACGTGCTTCAAAATATCTGAACCGAGGAATTCCTGCCAACACGTAAATTTGGTCTTATTAAAGCAAATACAGTAGCTTTATTTTAGTTTATTTCTCCATATCCAACATCATTACAATACTGCACGAGAACTTAACTTGAAACACAGATTTATTCCTGGGTATTTATTACGGTTTTTCACGTGTATTTGATTTCTTTACACTTGTGACTTCATAATGATATTGTCTTGTCATGAATTATTTAGGATTTTTTTTTGTTAATCCTGTTTTTATCTAACAGTGAAATGATAAAATTGTGCCCTGGATCACCCAACAGCATGTGGGTCGGGTCCCTTGGTATACTGTACTTAAATCTTGTACTCTTGTGGTAGTTGTGGTAGGAGAGTTTTATGTAAGATCTTGGATATGGTACAGTCTTTATTTCAGTCATGGGTTATTCATTATAATCCTTGTATAGTGATCAGCACATTGAAACATCTTGGTCATGTTGAAAGAAGTGTATTTTTCTCCAACAATGATGTAAATAGGTATAAGTAAAGTTCCACCTTTGTAATTTCAGCCTGGATGGAAGTAGCCGCAGTAATTCACCATACCCAACATCAGATTCTGAATCACTTTCAGTCTCCTCTTTGGTAATACATGACAGTAGTGGAACATTAAGAAAGGTTGGTAATTCCATTTAATTCCAAAACATCTTATACTGTATTATTTAATATAAGATGTTATGTAAAAGCTTGCCTACCTGGGTTGTTGCTTACAGTAATCATTCTCATAACATACAGTATGGTGTTGTGTTGATGCAGCTTGGAAGTTATATTCAGGTCTGTCTGGTATACAGTAGGTTATTTTAATCTGTACAGTATTGTCATTTACTTTTCTTGGTGTATTTCATTGGACTTGAATCTATTAACTTTGTTCTGTAGTCCGTAATAACCTTTTTGGAGACCGGACCATTAAAACTGTCTTGGTCATGTTAACACAAAAAGACCATCTTCTTTTTAAAAAGTAGTTTCCTCTCTCTTGTTGGCAGACTTCAGTGGATGATGCTGCCACTATGTCAACATCGGGTATCTCCACCCTGGATACAACCAGTGAAGTTACACAGTCCAAGGGCGAGGCGAGTCCCAACAGTGATGGCAGCAGCTGTGATGGTCAACACAAGGATGATGTTGAGGATGATGCTGAGGAGATAAAGGAAGACAAGGAGATGATTGATGAAGTGAAGGATCAGCAGGATGAGGGAGTTGAATATACAAGAGAAAATAAAGTAATCACTGATGAATATAATGAAGAGTTGTGTACACAAAGTACAGAGCATTTACAGAAGGAATGGCAGCTACCTGAAAGTGAACAAAGTGATGCAGTTTCACTTGAAAAACAACTTACAGAGGACAAGGTTCATCAGATAAGTGAAAATGATGTATTTAAAGAAGACAATTCTTCTTGTAGTAATGAAGTAACAAGAGAGCCTGTTGATGAGACAGTTGTTGCAGGCATGAAGTGCAGGTATATATCTTCAGATAGCAGCTCAGATGGAGATAAACTTGGGGAAAGTTTGACGACCACAGAGACTATGCAGAGGTCAAGTTCTCTTGGACAACTCACCAGTGAAAGAGAAGATAGTTTGGGGTCTTCTCCAGAACCACAGTTATCTCCTCCACCTCACTACTTCACTTCTAGTAATGGTATGTTTGTCTGCATGTATTTGTGTGTGTGTGTGTGTGTGTGTGTAATATACAGTACAGCATAATAAAAACATGAGACTTCAGCATTAATTTTTATATTGTATACCTGGTACATTAATTTCTGCTTTAGAGCATGATCATGCCTTCAAGATCATGTCTATACACAGTACAGTACTTTTGTTGTTTACTGGTATTTACTTTTATGATTCATGGTCCTTTGATGAGTGACCTCTGAGATGCTAACATACTAGACTATACAGTACTGTACAGTATATACCACATGAAAGTGTCTGCCAATGTAATATAATATGATTGTGTAAATGTAAATTACTTCCTCACACAGTTCCACCCTAAGCCTTATAAGGTATTTAATGGTGTGGTGTAGCCAACACTATAACCAAGAGAATGGTACCGATAAAATTCATGTAAGTCTTAAGGGATTTTTTGGCAATTTTTTTTTATGCACACGGGCGGATGTTCGACTACATATATGGCATGACTTACAGTACTGGTATACAGTAGTACCCCGATTTACGCGGTCAATTGAACCCACAGGGTACCGCGGAAAGTGAAAACCGCGTAAAGTGAACAACAGAATATATGGGATTAATTCCAATAGAGACTGGCCCGACCCCCAAACTCCACTTTTTCCGACACAATACCTATGTTGTAGTAAAAATAACATCTTGATTTTATGATGGTATGCTCACACAATTAATATTTAAGAGAAATACAGTCGCCAGGTTAATGTTCATTCAAATAATGGACTCAAATCCCCCCCCCCCTCTTCCCAGCTCACTAGCTCCTACCTCTCTGAGAAATGTTTGGGTGAAAACACTAGATTTTAACGTTTAGTAATAAATAATACCTCAGACTAAAGTTAGGATAATATAATTGACATTTCTGGATTCCTTGCAGGTCAGGGAATATTTTGAATGTAAACTTCATATATTTTGCACAAACGATAAAATATTTGCTTTGTGTAAACCAAATTATTACATTAGATCTAAAATTTGTATGTCGAATGCAAAATCCATGATGTTTATATTCAAAATGATCATCATATTGTAAAAATTCCAGCAATATAAATTATATTCTGGCCGGGTAATCTGTATGAATTTTATGAGCTAAATAAAAAAAATAAATTATACTTCACCGCGTATATCAGTAGATGCGTAGATGCACCGCGGAAAGTGAAAGTCCGGTTCTGGCAAGGTACCACGTAAATGAGAAATCGCGTAAATGAGAAATCGCACCGTGTAAAGCTGGTAATACTGTATACAGTATAAGAGACACACAAATTATAACAAAATATACTGTACCATAATAACATTTATACTGTAGGTGGATGGGTGTTCAACAGCATCGCATGATTATCACATAGTAAAAGAAAGTAACACAAAATCTAATAATAAAATGCAATATAAAATAACAGAAAATATATTACAGTATAGTCTGTATTTACGCAGTTAATTTAACCCGTGAAGGTCCGCGTAAAACGAGAAACGCGTAATCGAAATAACAGAACATATGGGATTAATTGAAATAGAGACTGGGCCGACCCCCAAACTACACTTTTCCGACACAATACGTACGTTGTAGTAAAAATAACATGTTAATTTTATGATGGTATGCACACACAATTAATATTTAAGAGAAATATCAATAATATTAGGTTTTTTAACACTTACGTTAGTAGAAAAGATGGCTGGGCACACGAGGATGGGGGGTTGGTTCCGAGGCAGAGGGCAGATTATTGGCCCTCACCTGTATCACTTGTATCAATTGTATCACTATCCACCACAGAGGCTTGCAGGGCCTCTTTGTCAAACCCCTCAAAGTCCATATCCTCACTACCACTATCACTGACTTGGGTCGGCTGTGGTGGGTGGCAGGTGAAGAACTCAGTAATGTTTTGATGACTGGGCGACCTTGTGCGCACCCTGCCCGCGCCGCTTCCCGTGTAAATGATGAAATTTACAGCGTAATTAAAACATTTCATTCTGGCAAGGCACCACGTAAATGACCAAACGCGTAAACAAAATCCGCTTAAATCCAGACTATACTGTATAAAATAAATTCATTCTGTACTGATATAAAATAAGATCATTCTGTACTCACATCCTTCAACGAGGTGGAAGACTTCTGGAACTTGTAGATGGACTTTGGGGAAGGAAGTGAGTGAATGAGCCTGAGTAAAATGTAAGAGTGAGAGTGAATGATTGTGAGTGAATATAGGTGAGTGTGAGCCGCATCCATTTAAATTTCCATAACTCCGTGTGGGCTGTGCCTTAACTCCTGGATTACACTGCTTACTCTACTCCCTGAAATAATTTATTTTTAATGTTAAAGAAATGAAGTGATGGTTGTATAATGAAATATTTTTTCATATTTACTGTACATATAGGGAAAGTGTTTAGTTTCAAAAGCTGTTAATGTATCAAGCTATATAACCTCGTTATAGTGACAATGGCTCGAAAAAAAGTCTCAAAAAGATGATGATTTTCTAAGTTAATACTGCTCATTTATCATTCTGGTTTTCCCTTCCTATTGGCCTCGAGAGTTGCCAATTAGTTTATTTGATAGAACATATTTACTACTATGACGCATCAAAATTTGACACAATTCTTTTGAAAAATTAATTTTTGGCGAATTTTTTAAAGTTTGGTGACTCAATTTGCATCACCGTGAAGTTGGTCTTATCATGATGAATTGACACTGAGCCAGTAGGGAGAAGAGGGTCCTTGTCAGTTTTGGTCACAGTGTTAAAGATCAAATTCATTGTTGCTAGAACCAGACTTTTGATTATGATTCCTTGGTGAACTTAACTCCTTGTGTATGGGATACCTTCTGAGCTAAATAAAATCATCTGGCTTTAACCAAATGAAATATGGTGTATTGTGTGTCATTTGTGGTCTGTTCATTTGTTGAAGTATTTTTCTGAGCAATATTATTTTTTAAAAGTATACAATACAGTACTGTACACAATATACTATATACAGTTGTACCCCACTTAACGCGGTCAATAGAACCCAGAGGGTCCCGTGTTAAGTGAAATCCGCGTTAAGTGAACAACAGAACATATGGGATTAATTCCAATAGAAACCGGCCCGACCCCCAAACTCCACTTTTTGAAGGCACATACCTATGTTGTAGTAAAAATATCATCTTAATTTTATGATGGTACATGCACACAATTAATACTTAAGAGAAATAGAGAAATACAGTCGCCAAGTTAATGTCCATTCAAATAATGGACTCAACATCCCTCCCCCTCTCACACTACACTGCCGGCTCTTCCCTCTCAGAGAAATTTTTGGGGGAAAACCACTAAATTTTAATAAATAATACCTCAAACTAAAGTTAGGATAATACAATTGACATTGCTGGATTCCTTGTAAGACCAGGAATATTTTGAATATAAATCATATATTTTGCACAAAAGATAACATAGTTACCTAGAGAAAATTTTTTATCTAAAATTTGTATGTTTAATGCAAAATATATGATGTTTATATTCAAAATGATCACCAAATTATAAGAATTCCAGCAATGTAAATTATATTCTGACCGGGTAATTTGTATGAATTTTATGAGCTAAAACAAATATCTTCAGTTAATAAAAAAAAAAATAATCTTCACGACACTATCTGTCAATCAAAGTACCCCACCTTGCCTCCCCCCCTCTTCCAACCGCGCGGTCAGTCCCAACCCTCCCCCCCACCCCCCACCAATCCTCCCTTCCAGAGTTTTTAACATTTAGTATTAAATAATACCTCAGATTAAAGTTAGGATAATATAATTGACATTGCTGGATTCCTTGTAAGACCAGGAATATTTTGAATATAAATGTCATATATTTTGCACAAAAGATAACATAGTTAATTTGAGAAAAAATTTTATCTAAAATTTGTATGTCTAATGCAAAATATATGATGTTTATATTCAAAATGATCATCAAATTATAAGAATTCCAGCAATGTAAATTATATTCAGACCGGGTAATTTGTATGAATTTTATGAGCTAAAACAAATATCTTCAGTTAATAAAAAAAAAAATAATTCTTCACGGGGTAACAGATGGTCGGTCGGTCCCTCCCTCCCCCCCACCCCCCACCAACCGTCCCAAGGAGATGTGTGGGATAACCACTAAATTTTAATAAATAATACCTCAAACTAAAGTTAGGATAATATAATTGACATTGCTGGATTCCTTGTAAGACCAGGAATATTTTGAATATAAATGTCATATATTTTGCACAAAAGATAACATAGTTACTCTGAGAAAATTTTTTATCTAAAATTTGTATGTCTAATGCAAAATATATGATGTTTATATTCAAAATGATCACCAAATTATAAGAATTCCAGCAATGTAAATTATATTCTGGCCGGGTAATTTGTATGAATTTTATGAGCTAAAACAGGCAGTCAGGCAGGGTGGCGGGTGGGGCAAATCTAAAAATAGCGTCTCGAGCCGGACACTCACCGCGTATATGTGGAAAAAATCCGTGTTAAGTGAAAGTTCAGCTCTGGCGAGGCACCGCGTATATGATAAAACGCGTTAAGTGAAACCGCGTTAGGCGGGGTAATACTGTATATATATATGTGCAGTACAGTATACTGTATATATATCTTGTTAGTACAGTATGATTAATGCACTCCTGATAAATACACTAAACATATTTAGAAATACAGTACAGGTACAGTACTGTACTTATAGTAATATGGAGAGGGTGTTTCTGACCAGAACATTTTGGACCTAGAAACTGTAAATACCTGTAACAATCATCTTGGCCAAATAAAGAAATAGAGTTAGCTTCACCTCCAGATTAACAGCCTCTCTTAAGCATTAGGAGGATCTGATGATTTTGGTGTAGCAGGGATGATTAGGGTTAATTTGAATTTGTATTGCTACTGTAATAATCAGACACATTCAGATAAAGGGATTTTGGGGTTTCATATTCTCTAGCAAGTTCAAATGATTACCGTAATAATGTTTTTGTCTTTTAAACACGATTTAGATGTTTATGCCCGCACTTTCTTCAGGAGAACAGTACTGGTATGAACGAAGTGCAGAATCTATGGCGTACTCTGCCAATCTGGCGTTCCCAGATTCATCATTGTCATCCTTCTGCCCAACTCCTGTTGATGGTGGATCCTCTCCAGTTAGACGACAGCACAAGTGTGGCATCTTCAGCATTGATGTCAGTGAGTATTTCTGTACATCTCAGTAGTTTAAATCAGAAAGTCATTAAGTTTGTGTTTCCCGGGAAACACTGAAAGTTATGAGAAATGAGAAAAATTTATTTATATGGGTAAATATAAGCAAGGTTATTGAGTTTAGTGAGAGTAGTAAATATGTGAAGGTTTAAGTATTATTCTATCTAGAAGTCTGTATTCCTCGGGCCATTGGTGGAAACACTACCGGTACCACAGGAGAAATGTAAAGGTAGAACCTCCCTGTAGCACATTTTTCTTGGCAACAGTTCACTTAACCTTCAGTCACACTCTCAGACTTAACAATAGCCTCCACAGCCACTCCAAAGCACTGTACTATTTTCCCCATGTACAGTCGGGGTGAAGAGTCTTGAACACTTGACAGTACAGTATTTGGCATGTAAGTACCCGAAGATCTTAGGTATTAAGGAGAGTTTTATCCCATTTCGTGGTGCAGGCATAATATATGATGACAAGTAGTGTTATTATTATATCCCAATCATATACTGTATATATAACTCAGAAGTAGATGCCAGATATTGCCAAGTGTTCAAGACTTTTGACCCTGACTGCACCTTCTCCTTATACTGCCTCTTGCACTTTTCACCTCCGTTCCCAAGTACGTATGTTGAGTGCCTTAGCTTGTGTAGCCCATTTTGTTTTATACTGTACATTACAATACAATATTTGGAATATAACATCAAAGTGCACTGCAGGCAAGCTACTTTATTTTTATATGAATTGTGTGAATTATATCCCTCAGGACAGAGTAAGTCTCTGAGGCTGTTCTTCAGTGACCAAGATCACACCTGTGGCCAGTTGGTGATTGCCAGCAGGGAGAGCCAGTACAAGATCTTCCACTTCCATCATGGTGGTCTAGACAAGCTGGCTGCAGTATTTGAGGACTGGAACTTTTTAGTTAAACCCAGAGATGAGGAAATTCCCACACCAGATGCAGCCCTTAAACAGTTCCTTGTGTGCATGTAAGCAGCATTATTGGTATTTTATTCTGTCATCTTAAAAAATTTACCAAATATTCAAGTGAAACGTGTTGCTTTTTTTTATATATATACTTAAAAGTGTAGCCATCATGACCATAACTGTCTAACAGCCATTTTACACTGATTTATATATTGTATTTTAAGATAGAGTAAATGTTGTGGACAGTAGTAAGTGGAATATTGTTGTCTCTGATTTTAATGACAGAAAACAAAGCCTGAAGATATTTATTTATCCTATCAGCTGATACTAGACATATCTGTTGGTTTATGCCCACTTTCTTTACTCTCATTCTGTCTACTCAGAAAATGTCACATATTCTCATTATGTCTACTATCCTAACCTAACCTAATGGGAAGTAGACAAAATGGGATGCTACCTATCTGTTAACTGTTTGTGTATGGGGTCCCCTCTCTGCTGAATAAAATGGTCTGTCATTAGTCAAATAGAATATCAAAAGTGGTGTCCCTGTAGTGAAGGTGTTAAGGAGCAGCTAGGGTTCGTGTGTCCTGCCTAGACCAAATAATCTGAGATATTTAACCCTTAATGGTCTGACGAATCTTGGGGTCTCCCTTCAGAAACTGAATAGTTAGGTAAAAAATTTAAATATTAAATGAATGTTCTAGTCTTATGAAATGTTAGACAAACATGTTAGTCAATAGGAAATAACATAATTATTACTGTACTCACCACCTATGGTTATTGGCGAGTCAGAGAAGTTGGTGTGACATGGTACCTCAGCGCCCCTCTGACAGTTACCATGCATCTGGGAGTGAACGATGGTGCACTACCAACTCACCCCATGTTCTTACAACTTGACAACACCTTCACATGGTTCCTTATTATTACACTACCGTATGTACAGTACATTCACCACTCTGTAGCTTGGAGTGGCAGGGCTTGGGAGCTAGAGGTCTAAGTGGTTAATCCTGAGAGGTAGACGTGCGACCTTCCTCCATGGTGACAACTGTTATACTAATTATTTGCTTAAGATGTGGTCAAGGAGAAATGTGGGTGAGCAGGGATGAGCTATTGCCACAATAATAGTCACTCTACTCACAGGGAAAATTTTTTAAAAATTAAGCGCGAGATTGATGCCATCAGACCCCTACTACATAGGGCACTCTGGGACAACGTCAGACCTTTAAGGGTTAAGGATGACTATTGGAAGTAGCTGGCTGCTCTTAAGAAATAAAATACACTACATGAACCCCCCCCTACACACACACACACACACCTGCTCTAGTCTCCAATCCTGCAGACCGGACAGGGGAATGACTCAAAGGCTGGAATACATTTGACATTTTATTTTTGTCCTATTTTGTTCCTTAGATATGTACAGCATATGATGACATCTCTATTTAATGGATTGTATGGATAAGAAAGTCTATTATAGTGAGGTCCATTAGATGTGAAACCTCCATATAATGGATTATACTTGTCAGATTGATGTTATGTTATCTTTTCAGTTTCATGTTATAGCCCCATCAGAAGACAATGTTTTGAGTAAATGATTCTTTTTTAATATATACAGTATATAAATCTAATGACATACTGTGTCTGTTGAAGGCCACATGTGAGTGAGTCTGAGCTTCATCCAGAAGAGGGTCAACATAAATGCCTGGACCCTGATACCTGGATCACCTACTTCAATGAGGTAAGAAAGATAAACTGAATGCTACTATATCGTGCGCTCTACAAAGAAACCGTTACCCTAACCTAACCTAATCTAGAAACACAAAATCATTAAGAAAATTTTGATAGTACTCTGTAGTAGTCTGTACACAGTGTAAAGTATTGGACAGTGTAAATATATTTGTAGAACACACGCTGTAGTAGCACCATATACAGTCTCTATAAGTGTTTTGAAAGAAATAATTGAGGAATATGTGAAAACTGTATTACTATGAGGTAAATATATATGCTAAAAGTGTGTAGGAAACAAGTACTAATACAAAATGTCTGCTCAAGGTGTCCTGCACTAGAGTAGGTAGAGATAAAGAAACAACTGGACTGTATCAGGGAGTATGTACAAAGACCATTCTAGTGTAGTGCAAGAGACAAGAATAAATGTATCGTGTCTCAATTAATGCTAGAGATTGAAAGAGAATCATTAATGTGGAGATGCCCAGCGGGGTGTTGTAATACCGTACACTATCCCTCTGTATGATCACTACCCTCAGAAAATTGATGAACTGAATGGAATAGTGAGGGATACTTGTATTATTGTTTCCCACAGATGATACACAAGCTGTTACTCTCAAGGTGCTATGTATCATGATAATGCTGTAGGCAGTTAGCTGACATCCAAATTTTTGTTGCTGTAGCTACTGTATTTTGAAAGAAAGTGTTTTTCAAGATAGAGTCCCAACACCCAATCCACCCTATTAGTAAGCTGTGTCACAGTCTTCCTTATGCTGTAACAAATATAATCAGGATAGGGAAGTAGAGCATTTACATAAAAAGTATATTAAACAACACTGGGGAACACACTTTCGGTTGCATGAGTTCTGACACTTGATTCTGGTAGATTTGAGGTCACAGATTCTGAAAATGGCATTCGTTTGTGCAGATCAGGTCTAGTTTTGATGCTACGCGGCAATTTACATATCAGGTCACAGATTCTGAAGATAGCAAAGGGAGGTAATAAGCATATTAGTTTACATTCATCAAATATAATTCTTAATTACATCAGTGCGTCAAATATAGATTTGTGTGTGCATTAGTGTGTGCAAACATTTAGCCAAGCAGAACTCAATGACTTAGTTCGAGATCTGGGTCTGTCTAAAAAGCTGTCAGAATTGTTGGCTTCACGGTTAAAAGATAAAAACTTGCTGAAAATAGACACAAAGGTAACATTCTTTCGCAACAGAGAAAAGAACCTCTTACAGTTCTTTGATTCTAAATTTGACTTCGTCTACTGTTGTGATATTTCTGGATTAGTCACCGCGATGGGAGCTCCAGGTTATGATCCGAAAGAGTGGCGCCTCTTTATAGATAGCTCTAAGCGGAGTCTGAAGTGTGTTTTATTACATATAGGCAACATCTTTGGCGCAATACCCATAGGACACTCAGTACACCTGAAAGAAAAATATGAACACATCAAAACAGCTTTGGAGCTACTCAAATATGAAGAACACAAATGGATCATCTGTGTTGATCTAGAAATGGTCAATTTTTTGCTAGGACAGCAAGCTGGGTATACAAAATTTCCTTGCTTTATCTGCCTCTGGGACAGCAGAGCCAAAGACAGACACTGGATTCAGAAGGAATGGCCAGTTAGGGAAAGCCTCAATGTTGGGGAAAAGAACATCATTTATGAACCCCTAGTGGAACGTGAAAAAATTGTTTTCCCGCCCCTTCACATCAAGCTGGGCCTTATGAAACAGTTTGTCAAGGCGCTCGATACTGACAGTGACTGTTTTAAGTATCTGTGTGAAGTGTTCCCTGGTTTAACGCTAGAAAAACTCAAAGCAGGTATTTTCGACGGCCCTCAAATTAGGACGCTGATTAAAGACCAAGCCTTCACTCAATCCATGACTGATGTTGAGAGAAATGCATGGGGAGCATTCGTTTCTGTTGTAAGGAACTTTCTTGGAAACAGGAAATCAGAGGACTATAAAAAGCTCGTTGAATCTTTGATGGAAAGTTTCCATGTGTTAGGTTGCAACATGAGCATTAAGATGCATTTCCTGAACAGTCATCTTGAACTGTTTCCGGCAAACTTGGGGGACGTGAGTGATGAGCAAGGTGAATGCTTTCACCAGGATATCAAAGTCATGGAAGACAGGTATCAAGGTCGCTGGGACATTCACATGATGGCGGACTATTGCTGGAGCATTCAGCGAGACTGCACTGAGAGGCGATATTCAAGACAGTCCATTAAACGCAAGTTTGTGCCTGAATAAATCTGGCATAGTTCACAAAAGCAACTGATGAATCCAAAATATGCTTGTCAAGGTAAATAAAAGTAATTAAAAATTAATTCTACGTGTTTGGTAATTCCTCTCTGTGTGCTGGTTTAGATTTTTAGCAGTAGTATATGGTAGTCTAACTATATATAGTAGTAAATGGTAGGTAACTCACCGCAACAAAACTAGACCCGATAGAAAAAAACCGGTGCCATATTTGAAATCAGTGACCTCAATTTACCCAGAAACAGGTTTCAAAATGTATGCAACTGACAAAAAGTTGAATTTTGTTCACCATTATAATGGTTTCACACGTGCTGATAGCTTCCACAAAGTTTACATTAATATCAGTCTTATATCTTAATCCAACAATATGCTCTCTCTCTACTTTACAAGTATGCTTCACAAATAGATTATAATACAATATCTTATGACTACCAGAAAACACTGGAATACCCTTACAATCTGTGGGTTTTTTCACGATACAAAATACCATGTCCTTCACCAATAATACCCAGAGAGAGAGAGAGAGAGAGCTTGAGCTTCTTCTCCTTGTTCCAATACGATTTCACTAATTTAACCACATTTTGTTTACATTCTTCATTTAAACCACTGCAATATTCTACATTGAAAACTGTTTCATAAAATCATAAGTTAATGATCTTTAATCACATCAATTACTAAAACATATCACAAAATCAGAATAACAAAACATATATCACAAACTTAAGAAAACTTTAACCTTCAGTTATTATAGGGTGTCATGAAAAAACAGGACACTTAATGGGATGACCGAGGAAAAATAAGTACATGACAGCTGTAACTCCCTTATCTTGTGACTTGTGTATCACAGAGAGGTGGAATGTCACGTATTTTTTGCCCATTCCCTCATAAAAAAAACATTTGAGGAAAATTCATTCATAATGTAGTGCTATTTAGTGTGTTTGTATTTACTGTACTGTATTGCCTAAACTATTTATTGCGTGTTTATTTCTCTTTAAATACACTAGGAAGGACAAATAGAAGATGACCTTGCACTTAGGCGAGCTATTTTCTTTGGTGGTGTGGAACCTCAACTGAGAGCCAATGTGTGGCCCTTCCTCCTCCACTATTATGACTTTCGCACATCGTTCCAGCAGCGACAGGCCATCATGGAGGAGAAACACCAGCTCTACCACAAGATCAGGTCTGCTTATGATAGACCCAGTTTAATATACACTGTACTGTACCACTTTAATTCTGTTGACTTTGAGCATAGAAATTTAAATACATTAAATAAGTAACAGTAGTCATGGAAGAAAGTCCTGTCAGTTCTCCGTCCTATCCACGAACCCGAAGACTCATGAACATGTGAATCCGAGACATCACACGGCCCAGTACACCATCTATGGGCTTAACAGTGTTTGATGTTTAGGATTCACTGGTTCATGAGTCTCAGGTTAGAGGACTGACAGGACTTCTTTCCCTGAATGTACAATCAAAGACAAAAGTCGTGTCGCAATTTCATCCAAAGATTAAATATAACTCGTGAAACATTATGAGAGCCCCCTACACCACAAGGCAGAGCACACCAAAAGTTTAGCCCTTTGGCATATGTTTTCACCAAATTTCACGACATGACTTTTGTCTTTCATTGTACATAAAGTACTAAAAATTTGAAATAAGTTGTGAAGTGAATGTGTGATTAAAGGTAAAGAAGTGGTAGAAATAACAGACAATCATGAATAGGAAACCTGTGTGTAGATCAGATAGCTAATGTGAAAAAAATCCAGATATTGAAATATTATATATTATAGTAGCTTTACTTTTGTTTGTGATAATGTCTTTGTTCACTCGTCAATTTTTTTTTTAAGGTCACAGAGTTTATTATGAGAAAATTAGCCTTCATTTGTGACCTTGTATCATATTATAGATCAATTTGTAGTGTAAATACAATGGGAGAATCATCAGAAGAATTACATTGTTAACTATGTTTATGGCCGTGTTCCTGGGTAGACCCCAGCATGTTGAACACTCCATAGAAGAGTTCCGTGATAATACTGTATGTTATTCATGTAAATATTAAATTGCAGCCAATACAGCTCTTTCACCCAGTACTTCCCGAGCTTTTCAAGTTGTCCAGTGTGTTGGTTGACTGTTTGACTTTTGAAGATACTTGGTCAGGAGTTAGACTCTCAATAAGCATAGACAACAAATGCATGAGTCATTTAATATTGGATACCATCACTAAGGTGGTTTACCCACAGTAATTGGTGGACTCTGTTCAGTCACTCATGTCTTGGTCATAGATCGAAAACTCATCCTCAGTCCATGACTTGTGACTCACGGGGTGTTTGATTTTATCATTTCACCAATTTTTCAGCACAATGAGAGAGAACATGTCAGGTGAAGAACTGGATTGGTTCAGAAGAAATGTTCAGTGCACAGTTGAAAAAGATGTGGTGCGCACTGACAGATCTAATCCATGCTTTGCCGGCAACGATAACCCCAACTTGGAGAAGATGAAGAGGATTCTTTTGAACTTTGCTGTACACAATCCAGTCATGGGGTCAGTGTTTGTAGTGTACATAGTTGGAAGTTCTGTTACTTAATATGTCTTCAGAAATGATATTAAGAAATTGTTTACCCAGCACCGTTTATCCTCTCTTGATACATGATGAGCCAGTACAGTTACACAGGGTAAAGGCTTGTACCATTTTAACAGACATCAGAAGACCAAGGGTTTCAAAATATTATGTTACAGGAAAATGTTCAGATAAAATTTACTGTACTGGAAAAAAGTATGTAACATTAATTGGTTAGAACAATGAGAGAAGTTGTGGTAATTTGCAGAATAAGAAAAAGTTAAATACTAATTTTGTTCATGTACAGTAATGAGAGAGAGAGGATTATGATAGTACAGTACAGATATTAATAGATGAAAGGCTTGGGAAAGTACCGTCAACTACTGTACTAAAGTCCATTCATCTCTCCTCCTGAACCATAAAACCCAGGATTCAGACTCATGAATCTGAAGCATTTATGGACAGAATAATGTATCTGTTTACTGCTTCGGGTTCACGAGTCTGAATCTTGGGGTTTATGGTTCAGGAAGAGAGACAAATGGACTTCAGTAGTTGACTGTGCAAACTGGAATGGATGAATGAAATTAAAAGTCATGTCCTTGGAGAGAAAACAAAGTTGGTTGGATTGGTAAACACAACCTGACAGCACCTGAAATGATACCTTAGGTTCTGGCTGCCAACCATCAGGTCTGAGGATGGTGCCATTATTGATTCATTCATTCATGAGACAGTGCTCCTAGTACAGTAAACCCATGTTTTTTGGGGGGGATTAGGTTCCAAGGAATGGCGCCAATTGGCAAAACTGCGAATAGCAACTTCCTTAGTGCACTATTGTACTGTACTGTACTGTACAGTATACTTATACTGTGTATGAGAAACTTAAAGTCACCAATACTGTACCACTTACATTCCTATGTGGAAGTTTGGAGCTCGATGAGGTGATGCACCATACATAGGGAGACATCTGGTTACTGAAGCATAGGGGGATTATCAGGAGCACTGATGGAAGAGGGTGATGCAGTGGTGGTTGGTGGAGAGGCACGCGGCTGGGAGGTGACGTGTGGCCGGGAGGCGGGTGGTGAGGTGGCAGATGGCTGGGAGAAGGAGGGTGGAGCAGCGGCGGTAGCAGCTGACTGAGTGAGGAGGGTGGGGATGAATCAGTTGGGCAAGCGGCTGTTTCTTTCTTGTAAAACATCATGATTGGAAGTTGTTTCTTCTTGGCTCTGTCTTGGCTGCCTTGAACCCAGGGGCATGCCTCTCCTGCTTGTTTATGTGCATTCTACTAGGCATCTTTTTCCAATATAGACCAGATTCATAATTTTCTTTAACTTTGTGGGAATTGCGTCTGCGGCTGTGTGGTCAGCTGATGCAGCCTCCCCAGTCAGCTTCACATTATGGAGAGAGAATCTTTTCTTAAAATTCTCAAACCAACGCTAAAAGTTGGTTCAGTAGCTGCACCAGCCCCTTCACCACCTGTTGACTCATAAAAATGGGCACGAAGACTCTTGGCCTTCTCATGAATCACGTTGCTGTTAATCGGAACATTTTTGCAGTGCTGGTTCTCAGTTCAAATGTTCAGTGGTTTTCTGTTTTTACTCTGTTCTTGTCACGAACAACCTGCTCCACTTTTGCACTTGCTGGAGCACTCGCTTGAACAGAATCACGAATTGCTTGTTTTATCTTTCTTATGTACCGCACTGTGGATTCGTTCACACCAAACAACTGACCAGCCACGGCAGCACTCATCCCCTCCTTTAACTTGTCTAATATTTCAACTTCTTTGTCAGGGTCATCACTGACTTCTGCCTTTTACATTTCACTCCACTAGCATCACTAGCACTAGCACAGAAACACTAAAGTTTTGAGAGTACAACATGAGATGCTGCGTCACAGGCAATGCCTTAGTGCGAACAGAGGATGAGGATACGCTGTGGGTGCGTGGGGTCTACTATAGTATTGTATAGTTTACTGTCACCCTCAAAAGTCATGTCGCCTCTCCTGCTGCTCCACGAACCCCTGAAACTCAGACTCTTGAACTCAGTCATATATATATTTATTGTATTTTAAGTCGGTTGTATATTTTTTGTATTTTACATTTTAGATCAGTTTTATATTTATTGCATTTTAAGTCAGTTGTAAATTTACTGTATGTTGCACTTTAAGTCTGCTGTTCATTTTAACAGGTATACACAAGGCATGTCTGATATACTTGCCCCAATATTGGCTGAAGTGCGCAATGAGGCTGATGTCTTCTGGTGCTTCACTGGCTTAATGAGCAAGACCATCTTTGTCACATCACCCAAGGATGAGGACATGGAAAAGAACTTGGTAAGGGAATAAATACAGTACAGGCAGTCCCTGAGTTACTAACATGTTACGTTCCTGGACCCTGTTCGTAAGTCAGAATAGTGTTAATTCCATAGTTTAGGTTAGGTTAAAGCACAACCCTGTCTATACAGAATAATAATAATAATAATATCTCATACATAAGAAATAATGTAAATACTGTAAAATAAAGTGATGTTAAATAGTATAGAATAATGAAAGTAATGTAAGAAATGGATTTTATTTACAGACTTTGATGATGAATATACTGTATTTGGATCCTGTTTGTAACTCATGGACTGTTTGTAGTCATAAACTAAAAACTCATTCAGTTGTACACCTAGACCCCGACTTACGACTGCTTCAACTTACGACCGCCGCAGATTTTTTATTAAAAAAAAAAAAAAAAAAAAGGTTTTCTTCAAATGACACGCATTTTCTATACCGAAACGTTTCCAGTATGTAGTCTCCATGTATAATTAGAAAATTATGGGGGCCCCATGTGCATTCAGCTGACTACATTAAAGGTAAGTGCTCAGTCACACTGTAACCATTCCTTATTATTTATTACTTTCACTGTACTGTATCCATTCCTCATTATTCATTACTTTTACTGTACTGTATTTCATTGTAGATTATTTATTTAAAAAAAAAAAAAAAAAAAATTATCTATGTCGGACTTACGACCATGTCGGACTTGGGTCCCTAACCCCGTCGTAAGTCGGGGTCTAGGTGTATTATTGGATGTTGATGATTATTACTGATACAATTGATTTTACATTATTCCCTCATTGGTTTTTCCAGAGTTACTTGAGAGAATTATTACACCTCATGACACCGCGCTTCTTCGAGCACATGCAGCAACAGCAAGATGGGATGGACCTTCTGTTCTGTCATCGCTGGATACTTCTGTACGTTATTGTTTGGACTTAATAAATACAACCTGTAAAGGCTGTTAAGAGGGAGTGTGAGTGAAGAATAATGAGTGTTATGGCATGAAAATTGTGAAGTTGTATGGCACTGAAACATGGGGGGTAAAGAGGATGACATGCAGGCTTGAGTAAACTGAAATGAGAATGGTCATGTTCAATGTGGCACTGAAAGATAGGAAACTTTGTTCATTGCTAAGAGGGCAGCTAGGTATTGAGATTGTAGCATTGGCAAAGTTATTCATAGAGATAGGTTTAGATTGTTTGGGGATGTGGAGAGAATGGGGGAGAGCAATTAGGTTAAGTGGTGCGCGAGTTTAAATATGGAGGGGAGGAGAGCCAGGGGTAAACAAGAATGGTTTGGGGAAAGGTAAGAAATGACATTAGAGTTGAAAAACTGCCATCAGGTAATCATGGCAAACCTACACAAGAGTGGAAAATGACTGTAAAACGTTGATGGTGATGATGAAGATTCACTCTTAAATGTCACTTGCTTCCTCCCCTAATTCATAAAATGGGATTTCACACTCCAGTCCTTCCATTAATGTCTTCATGTAACTAAAAGTTGGTTACAGCTAGAATTTGTTAAATTAAGTTTTTACTGTTTTAGGCCTGTTAACTGAAATCATACATATTACTAATGCATCTTTATGTATTTTGAACTGTTGACTCTCAATTATGTATTTGTCTTGCTTCAGTAATAGATCAAGTGAATTTTTGGAAATGAACTTCTTTTTCTTTTTTCTCCTCACCTATTCATCACTCCAGTTGCTTCAAGCGAGAATTTGATGAGAATCAGGCTTTATCCATGTGGGAAGCATGTTGGAGTAACTACCAAACAGACTACTTCCACCTGTTTCTGGTGGTGGCCATTGTAAGCATGTATGGAAAGGATGTTGTGGACCAGAATCTACGACCCGACGAGACATTACTGTACTTCACTTCATTAGCCAATCATATGGACGGTCAAATGGCATTGAAAAAGGTGAACTATTAAGGCTCTTTATGGATCACCTAAAGAAGACTCTCCATCCTAGCTATTTTCACCTAAAGGGTAACCTCCTTAATGGTAACCTAACCTGACCTCATCCCCCCAAATAGTGTTAGGTTAGGTTATAATCTTCTGGTCAAATGAGCTGGGGTGGCGAATCTTCTTCAGGTGATCCGAATATATCTCCTGACTGGACCCTTATCTGTATGCATACAGTTGTTTACCATACTGTATATATGTTCATTATTAGCCTTTATCCATCCACTGTCTTGAGCCTTGTCTGCCCATTGAGTACCTATCTGATAGTTGGTGTGTTTCATGGAATAAAAAAATCTGAGTCTGCTGTTGATTTTGTCTTGCAATATATCAGTCTTGAGTACATTAAAAGCTTAATAGATAAAGAAACAAATGTATGCACAGAACTCTTAAAGAAGAAAAAGAAAAAGTTAATCTCATATCATTACCCTGTTGTTTTTTCCACAGGCTCGGGGACTTCTACACCAGTACCGTAGCATGAGCCACTTACCCTGCACGTTAATGGGACTGTGTGAACTCTGTGGTCCAGGAATGTGGGACTCTGGCCACGTACCTGTTGTGACGTGTAAAGGACATCTAGATAATAAACCGTGCCCTCTTAACCAGTCATCTTCTTCCTCTGCAAACGACCCTTCCAGCACTGCTTCCTGACACACCACCAGGAAAGTGCTTCATCAGCTGGTTTTATGCAAGTGAGATGGAGGAATGATGATAGGTAGGTGGTGCAGCAGGTGATACATAGTACAGTATGAGGAAATATATAAAATGAGTGTTACAGAGCAGCTGAAGGTAATATATTAAAAGACTTACTGAAGACATCTTGATAGGGATTTAGAAAATACACAAAAATTATAGAACATTGCTTTGAATATTATAGAACTGTATTTCAAAATTAAGGTATAATAATAAATGTACTCTGATAGAATAAGAGATACAGTACATAGAGTAAATCAGGGAATGAGAAAAGAAAAGTTGAGGACAAGCTTCAGGCGAGAGATAGATCAGTGACAGAGAAAAAGAAAGAGAAGGATTTGAGAATAGAGGGTGATATTTCATAGTGTGTTTGGATATACAGAATGACAGGCTAATAGATAGCATAAGTTGAAACATCGAACAGGAGAGCAAAGCAGAGATGGTACAAAGATGGAGATGATTTTTTTAAACGAGTTAACATGGTAAAGCTTGAGACATAAATAATACTGTACAGTCACCCAATAAACTCCTGTCGCCTCTCCTGAATCATGAACCCAAAGATTCAGACTCGTGTATCTGAAGCATTTATGGACAGAATAATGTATCAATCTACTGCTTCAGGTTCACTAGTCCAAATCTCGGGTTTTGTGGTTCAGGGGAAGGGGCGAACGGACCTTAGTAGTTGACTGTATGTGAAATTATTAGAAAGATACCAAAAGAAAAATGATAATTAGTTCCTAAACAGAGAAAAGTAATATCTGAAGAGAACAATACTAGCACCTAAAAGATGTTTCAAAAGAGATAGATGTCTTAGGGCCATACAGTACAGTACAGTCAACCCTCACTTTACGCGGTTAATGTAACCCACAGGGTACCGCGGAAAGTGAGAAACGCGTAAAGTGAATAACATAACATATGGGATTAAATGAAATAGAGACCAGTTGACCCCCAAACTCCACTTTTTCCAACACAATACTGTACCTATGTTCTAGTAAAAATAACATCTTAATTTTATGATGGTACATGCGCACAATTAATACTTAAGAGAAATACAGTCGCCAAGTTAATGTCCATTCAAATAATGGACACGACTCCCTCCCCCTCTTCTCACACTACACTGCTGGCTCTTCCCTCTGAGAAATTTTGGGGGGAAAACCAGGTATAGTAATAAATAATACCTCAAACTAAAGTTAGGATAATATAATTGACATTGCTGGATTCCTTGTAAGACCAGGAATATTTTGAATATACAGTGGGGTATGCTATAACGAATCTAATTGGTTCTAGAACCTTGTTCGTTATAGCATTCGTTGGTTATAGGATTAATCCGTTCCAGGCCCCCAAATACAACCACTTAACACTGAAAAATATAATATAAAATTGTAAAAATTGTAAAAAAGTGCATAAATATGCATCTAAACCCCTGAAATAAAGAATATCATTAATATTTGTAATAAAAAAACAATAAATTAGTAAAAAAAAAAAAAAAAATTTTTTTTTTTAAATAATGTTCGTTGTAGGAGTTTCGTTCGTTATAGCATTCTCAATTTTATAGGTAAAACCGTTCGTTATAGGAATATTCGTAGTAGGATCCGTTCGTTATAGCATACCCCACTGTAAATATCATATATTTTGCACAAAAGATAACATATTTACTCAAGAGTAAACATTATATCTAAAATTTGTATGTCTAATGCAAAATCTATGATGTTTATATTCAAAATGATCATCAAATTGTAAGAATTCCAGCAATGTAAATTATATTCTGGGTGGATAATTTGTATGAATTTTATGAGCTAAATAAAAAAATTATACTTCACCCGTGTAATGGGGTACACCCACCGCGGAATGTGAGCATCCTGGGTTCTGGCAGGGCACCGCGTAAACGTAGAAACGCGGAATGTGGGACCGCGTAAAGTGAGGGTTGACTGTACTTTATATTTGTTTGAAATGATTTTTTTTTAATTACATATTATGAGATTAAAGAATATTAAGTCCCTTTTATATAAGTGATACAAAGGATTAAAATATACTGTACTGTAGTAGGATGATGTGAATTGTTAAGCACTGATTTTTTTTATTGAAAATTGCACTAGTCTTTAACTGTGGGTGAATGATATGGAGTGTGTTTTTGTGATTTTTATTGCAATGCAGAAAAAAACCCACTTAAATTTAGCCCGGGTACATGACAATTCCATTTCTTGTACATGAGGTTTCTAATGTAATCATTGCAAATTAATAATTATAAAAAAAGCATTATTCCCTTTATTGGGATAGATGATTCAGCTTTTATTTTTTCTTATTTTCCAACTTATTTTCCTCCTCCTCTTACTCTCTCTATAAATTGTTTATGCACAACATTCCTCTCACTCCTTCACTGAACTTAGGATGATGTTAAAGCACCCTCACGGCATACATGTGCATCCTCACCCAACTGAGTTCTCATTTCAACAATATTGCAATAAAAAATAAATCAATGAGCCGGCAGACAAAAAATATCTGCCATGTCAGTGTGTTGTCTAATTGCTGTTGTATTATTGGGTTAGTAAGTTTAGATATTTTCTTGTTTTCTGGATTCTTGTCACTAAATTATGTAATATCCCCATCACTAATTACTGGAGTCATTTGTGATAGTAAATGCAACTTTACTGATGCTTATGTTTGTTTATGGGTGAATACTGGACTAGTCATTACTGGTGGAAGCTTGATCTGACATTTCACTTTCTTCTTGAGCCAAAACTGATCTGACATTATATTCTTGCAGAGCTAAAACCGATCTGACATTATATTCTTGCAGAGCTAAAACCGATCTGACATTACACATATACTGTACTTGCTGAGCCAGCCTCCTGAAATAAACACTTTCATCAGACTAGATTTAGTACAAGTTGGTATACATGACATTGGGGTGAACTAAGGGACGCTCATGATTATTTTCAAAGTTTCATATATTTATTGTGTTTTGGCAGGAGGCTAAAAAACACTAGTAAAATAATGGAGAAGTTACTAGACATAGATGATGGAGTGTTTTGGGGGACAAGCAGTGCATGTAATATATGGCATGATTATTTTCAAGAAATGCGAAATAGAGGAGTTATATTTATATGAAAATTAATGTAGGTTTTAGAGAAGGGGAAATTGGTTGAAAGATGTGAACATTTGCTGGAAAATTAAGCAGAGAAAGACTTTCTGAGAAGTGGAATTTTACAAAGTTTCGTAAATAGATTGAGAAGCAGAAGTCATGATGGTACTGTGCACAGATGGCTTCATGTTTCATATAGTAAATGGTTTTAAAAATGAATAAAGACATTTTAAAAGCATTTTAGTGTACAATTGTGTTGGAAGGAGAATGAATGATATTGACTTGAGAAAGAATTTTGAAATTACAGATGAGAAAGTGAGATGATGTTAAAACACACATACAGGCTAGTTGTTTACCATGAGAATAAAACTTGTGAAAATGTTAAGGATTGTTCTGATAATGCTTGAATACAGTGAAATCTCCATCTAACGAACTATATAGATATGAAAGTCCATTATATCGAGGGTCTGTTAGATGCAAAACCCCCACCTAACAGAGGGGAGTCAGTTCTAAGGAGTATTTCACTGTATTGATTGTCTTTGAAGAGGTTTAGTAAACAGAAAGATGTTGAGAGTAAATGTCATTTGGGGAAGCTGCTGGGAGTAATGTGGTTTTCTACGAGAAGAATAGGTGTATGTCAGCACAAACAAGTTAACAATTTAATAGCTTGGTGGCAGAGATTGCAATTAAACTGTATTGTACTGTTTTAGTATTGTTAGCTACTCAACTTTTAAAAATGAAATGATACAGAGGAGGAAATGCCAGAATTTGGGGGAAAATCTACTGATAATTTTGTACGAAGGAAGATAACTAGGTGACTACCGGAAGTACAGTTTATGTACTGTTTTGTGATCAAACAACAGTGACCCCTCCGTTAACGAACTCAATCCGTTCCAGAAGGTCGTTCGTTAACCGAAACCATTGTTTCAATGGGTTTTTGGGTAATTGGTTCCAGCTCACTGAAAATTTCCTAAATTCAACAAAAATGGTAGAAAAGTTCACTTACTTTGAGGTGTGTTTGTAGAAGGCTCCTGGATGATGATGATGATGATGATGGGATTTAGAATGGGGGTGGAGGAGAAGGAAGAAGAGAAGGCATTAGGGTGGAAGAGAAGTCACCCCATGGCGCCATTTCACCCATAAAATTTTAGCTCTCTTGGTGTAATTCAAGATTATTTTCTTTAAATCAACACTGCACTGCATTATATATTGTCAATATGTAAAATATATTTCAAAATGACCAATAATTTGCTTGGAAACACAGAAAAAAAGCGTTTAGTTGAAGAGAGAGTCAAGCAAGATGTTACCTCCAGTGAAAACAGAGAGAGACTAACTCCTGTTTGCTGTGTTAAGAGGCTGGATGCCGCTCATTAAACTAGTCACTAGTGACTTAAGAAATTGAATATTAAACTTTTAAAATTATTGAATAGTATAAACTTCTTGATATTTACGAAAATAGTAAGGAATTTAAGCCCTAGAACCGATTAATGTATTGGCGGACTGATACTAAAGCTGGTTGCCCGGTCAGTGCAAGCGAAAACATGTTGAGGTCGGTTCGTAAGAACTTCATTAACCGAATTGAAGATCCTTATGGAAGGCAGTTCGTTAATCGAAATTACGTTAACCGAGGTGTTCGTTAAACGAGGGGTCACTGAACTTATAAAACTACCAGATTTTTAATGCAGTTTGAAAGTTTGTGCTGAAGATTCTAACATCACCAGTAATGTTATATCTAAGAGTAGCAAATAGAATCATGAAGTGTGGATTGACAGAGAGCTAAGTGAAGGCTCAGGATTTTGATTATTTGGGGTAGAATATTCAGTGCAGGTGAGGAATTAAAAATGGAGATATTGGGGTTACTGATATAGAGCAATATACCCTATTGAGAGCTCTAGATTGGTTCCTAGGTAACAAAGAGTGCTAATTGAATCAACTCTAATCAGGGTATTGTTGAATGGGAATATGTTGATATGTATGTAGGGAAAGTTACCAAGTTAAATATTATGACTTGACAGTGTGGCAGAGGCTTTTACAAATCATGGTTTGACATAGCCAATTATATGAATGTAGAACAGAGATATACAGTAAAAAAACAAAAACAGAAAAGTATGACTAGTGTAGGAGGGAGTGATTGATAAAGAAACAGAATAGCATTTATATGTGGTATGAATGTAGGGGTAGAATGGATGTTGAGGAACTGTACAGTACTGTATGAGTGGATGAAGGGGAAACTAAGACTGAGGTAAATGGATTGAGAGAGGGAAGGAAGTATTAGCCTGGAGAATTATTTAGTTAGTGAGAAGTGGGTTATACTGGATATAAATATAAGTAGAGCATTGTATATGAGGCGTTTACAATGGCAAGGGCATATCACAGGGTTTTTCAATTTCCTATTTTCTGTCTGTCAATAGCTTCAGCATTCCTCTATCAGATAATGATGTCAGGCAATGTGGATATGTCTCCAGCATGGTACAATCCCCATAAGAAAACATTGAGTACAGCCTGAAAATTGAGCCGAGTTGATTTATTCAGACATACACCCTTGCTGTTCTATTCAGGGATAAGCCCTTACTATTCTGTTCGCCTAATATGTCTATTAGTAAATACAAATGTGGCATTAAACTAAGACTTTTCATGCAAACAATAATTAAAAGATTAAGGACGTCTTCATTATTTTGGTGGTATCATACGATACAATTGCCTCATTTCCAAATAAGTTGAAGTTTATTTAATAAAAAAATATATCACAATGGTATCAGAACTGAAGTATATGATACTAAACATTATTTATGCATTGTCATAATAGAGCGTACATATTATTTACATATCAAGATTATTTTGCTCATTAT